TTGCATCTTTGTACCACCATTGTGGCCCTTCAGCTTGGCACCCTGAAAAAGTTGCCCACCTGCTTTGTAAGGAATTGAGAAATTAAGGAGTGATTTTCAGTGGAGCACAGCTGTAGCTGTTAGGTTTCTCTCTGGCCCTGCGTGGCCACCAGCTGCTGAGGCTCTATGGATAGGAGAGTGAACCTCTGGCTTTCCTCCTTAGGGGAGATCCCCCCCCCCACTTCTCGGACCCTTCTGATTAGGCAGGGTAGGGAGAGTGCCCTGAATGGGGCATCCAACTCCTGCTGCACACACTCGACTCTCTGGGTCACGGTCAAGCTGTGGTATGTTTGGTGCAGAGGTGCTAAAAAAAAGGATGCGAGTTGCTTACCCTGGCTTGCTTGATAAGCACTCCGTACACCTTGAGGGGCTCAATGACCTTCTTTTCCAGCCTCTCCACCTAAATGAGAAATTACATCGGTCACGATTCAAATGTCACTTTTCACCGGCGGACAATCCCGACCGATGTCCCGCTGAAGAAGTGGCTCTGAAATTTTCTTGCTACCTAACTCCAGGGCAGCTTGCCCCTTACGAGTGGCGCTCCAGATGTGTCATGACAAGAATTGGCTGGGAACTTTGGGAGTTGCGGTCAGAACAGTCTGGAGCGTGCTGGGGAGGGCAGGAAGGATCAGAAACCAGACGGGGATTAGCAGAATTCTCTTATCGACAATGACCTGCCTGGCATAAAAAAGACCTTTGTATGCCAGCTGCTAGGCATTGTAATCTTCCAGCCAATATCTCTCTGCTCATTGCTGGAAGCAGGGAAGAGGGCGTATCCTTGGAGTAACAGCATACTGGCAGAAATCAGAGGAACAGTTTCATCATCTCCTAAAATAAGAGAACACCCCTCCGTCCCACATCATAACCATGTTAGTCCGTAATTTTTATTTTTGTAGGGAACAAATGTTCCTTTAGTGGCTAAGACTTAATGCTTGTGTGTGTGATGTACCTAAACACTATGGATCTCGGTCACCAAATTCACCTCCGCTTGCCTGTAGTCCTGCACTCTGGCTAGATCTTCAGCAAAGTTCTTCACAGTAGTTCTCAGCTCAGGATTTTCCGTGTTTGCGTAGTCAATGAGCTGTTTCACCAAAACATCTGACTTGTCCCGAAGTTTGGCAGTCTTGCGGGTATAGGCAGCCATCAGACTGCAGAATTTGCCAAAGTATTTCTCTGCATTGGCAATTGTATTCTCCATTATCTTCACTTGGGTGTCTCTGGAATAGGGGAACAGGAAGTAATTTTTTTTCACGTAGGTGTCTCTGGAACAGGAAGCAATTTCTTAAAAAAACCCAAAAAAACAGCCCTTGCTATCTGTCCAACTTCTGACAACTGATTACACCCCAACAGCAAGATTCTCATAGAAGCTACTTTAACCACTTTATTAAAAGGGAAAAAGTGCCATGATGTTAACAGTTCAAGAACTAAGTGCTTTCAGGATCTCATTTATCTTTAAGTTTACTAGGACAGAGCTGTTTTCAAGGTGAGGGAGGAGATGTTCTGAACTTGCAGAGTTTTCAGAAACTCCCTCTTGTCCCCAGTGCAGAGAAGACCATTACATTCTGCTTTTTTATGATGATGATGTCTTCTCCAACTCTTGACAGCCTCTGTGTTATAACTGTCAGCAGCTCTTCTGCGGGTGCTCTTGCTCTAGTCTCCGTCAGAAGCCTTTGGGTAGTGTTGTCTTTATTGATCCTTGTGCCCATTGAATTATAAGGAAATGACGAAACTCACACGCACCAACTCACATTCCCTCTCACTCAAAATATGCTTGTATTCTGAAAATAGCTAAGGACAGATCCTCTACCTTCACAAAAGGAAAAGAAACTGGATGTGCTATCTCTTTTCTGTAAGTTGAGCATTGCTTCAAGACCTTGGTAAACCCTTAGATCTTCTAAAAATGGTGGTTCACTGGTGAGTTTCTTCCCATGCTCTCCTCATCACTGCCTTTCCATGCTACAGAAAAGCATCATGCTGAGATTTTCCTTGGCCCGTCTGCTTGCCAAAGTTACAGAAGGAGACATGCAACCTCTGTGCAGAGCTATATTTCTCAAGCTTTTTGCAATTGTGGAGCTCTGAATAAACGTTCAGAAAAGGGGGGGGGGGACCATCCAATCAGTCAAACAAAGCTTCAGTATGTTTTTGTCTTTCAGAGAATGGAAGTTCACATTTTTCAGCAGAGGAAGCTATGATTATTTGCGTATGCTTTCCTATCCTGCCTTTTAAAGCTAAATTTTATACCTAAATATAATTCAACATTAGGTACAGTATGTATTTGTCACTTGAGACGGAGGCTAACATGGCAAATGGACTAGTCAACTGACTGTTTGTGAAAGTAGGGAGGTGGGGCTGCAGTAGAAATTGGACACTGGCTATAAAGGTAGGAAGATTGTGATAGACCACCTGGTGGACCTCTGTGGACCACCAGATGTTCAATCACTTTGAGAATCACTGATCCAGAAGTAGACGAGAGTGAAATCCCTCCTGCTTGCAGATCCTCCATAGATGTTTTCCTTCAGATGTGGCTTTTCTGTTGCCCTCTTGAGGCAGGAAAGCAGAGGGGCTTAGATTTGGGGTCGGGGGCTGCTGTATGACATCTGGATTCAATTGACCAGGTGGATGTTTTGTTACAGAGGGAAATGGTTTTTAGCAGCTGCAGAATTTCCACAGAGTGAACTTGGTATATCACACGTATCAAGAAGAGAGAGCATGGACCTTAGTAACTACCTCTGACATGTATACTTTCTCATGCTCTTGGACACACCTAGGCAAACCCCCACCATGGATAAATTGAATTCCCAGCATTTTTTCTCAACTCACACCTTTTCCTCTGAACCTCTATCCCCCAAATCACGGACTCAACACTAATCTTGTTTCATGACTGTTCTTCTCTCCCTGTGGCTGTTCTCAGAGCAGAAATTAAATTGTTAGCTCCTCGGGGCAAATGTTAATCTCATACTGTCTCCATTGATGTTGCTCTTTTAAGTAGTAAAGGCACCATATACACGGACTTCCACCCGAGCTTCACCCTCCCACCACCTTGCCTTCCTACCTGAACAGAAAATCCTGCATCTCCAACAGCAAGAGGAAATCTTTCTAATTAGAGTAAACTCTCCTATCTTACCTGAAAAGGATGACATTCATGTTTGCACGGGATCTAACTGGCCTTCACAGTATTTTCAGCAGTGACACGGCGAAGGGAGAGCTGCACCCAAGTCTTCTCAGGTGTTCTCCTGGCTTGGTTGGTACGGTAACCCCATCAACAAAGATCTCCCCAAGGGAAGAGGAGTGGCCCTGGTTTCCATGGATCACAGTCTCTTGGAGGCAGATGATTTCTGAAGCTGAGCATGACTGAATATTTGTTTAAGCCAATGTACAATGTGGATCAACCTCCCGGAGATCAGCCCTGCTGTTTGTTTTGGTTCTGCTTTAGTTTGTCATTAATGATGACCAATATGAGTTCCACCTCAGTTCCCTTTTGTGGAATGGGGTTTTGTTCTAGATGGCCTCCTACATTGAGCAATTAGTTGTCTTAAAAGGCATAATGTTTCAAGGAAGTGAAATGGCTCCTGATTAAACACATGGCAGTGGGAATGTTAAAAGAGAGAAGGGAAAGTAATGGGTGTGGGGAGAGATTGGGTTCACAAGACAGGAGGATTAGCTCCTGTGGTTGGAGCTCATGTTTGGCCCAAGGTACAGAAAGAGCATCAACTCACCTTCCTCCTATTTTAGGAGCCCATTCTCTCTCCCCCAACACCACCAACTGAAATCAAATGAGTTAGTGCCTTTGGGTGTTTACGCTCCATGATGGAAGACCTTCCTTCAAAGGATCACCCAATGCCTCCATTGTTGTCATCCACACCAAGGGGAGGCTGTTTCAGGCCATTAAAAATGTGTTCCCAAAGTTCTAAATGGCCATTTATGAGCTATACACCTGTTGCAAAGTTGCACTGGACGCCTGCTGGCTTCACAAACACGTCCTGGGAGTTTTCTTGGTGGAAGTGTCAAGGCAGGTGGAGTGAGGCTGCAAAGTGGGCGAAACTGAGTTGGGGGGCCACTGTTCTACCTGATTTCAGACTTGTATTTAGTATTCCTTGGTTCCATTGGGGAAATTTGCATTTGCTTTTTGAGGGTGACCAAAAAGGGACCTTGGACACCACGTGATCCAGGAGTGGAGGGTGTCCACCCCTGAGTGGGAGTCAACCAGTTCACACCTGGCTATTGGAAATGGTCCGTGGCTTGGGGGAGCGTGTTTTGTTGATGCACCACTGAGGTATAGGAACCAAGTCCCGGAAGGTTCTGTTGGGCCATGTAAATGATTGCCATAATTTGGTCATTGTTGCTTTGAAAGCTCCTGCAGATACTGCTTTGTAAACAACAACAGCTCGGGAACGGGCCCTTAAGAAAGGTAGCAGATATCTCAGTGGCATGGAGGCTGGAAAGAAATGAAATCTTTGTGAACTTTGATTCCTGATGTTGGCTTCATGCATGCAAGTCAGTCTTTAATAATAATGCAGCACTGGAGTATGCAAAGGCTCCCTTCTCCTCATTTGCATGTGTCAATGAAGCCCTGAATTGGGGCAGGGGATGGCTCTAAGGAGGGGGGAGTCAAAAAAGTCAAGCCACAGCCATGTGCTCAAAACCCCTCCCTTTTTTATGTACATTGCATGGTGATGTAGAAGGCAGAGGGAGTGGCCTTGAGGAACAGGAGGAAGAGCCACTACCAAGACAATGGTCAGATAAGAGGTACCTGAGCTTGGGGCCAAGAAAGTAACTTGAGAAAACATCTCAGAAAAGCCCCTCCCTAGTTCTCACACAGGTGGGGGGGGGGAAGCACATCCAGGCTTGCAAGATTCTGTTACTGACTTACATCGCATTGGTTTCCTAGTCTGATCTATCTTGAAGGGCCGACAGGTGGTGGCTGCTGTCTTGACTGTTTTGACGATATCCCCACCCCCACCCCCAGACGCCCCTGACCCTGGGAACATCAGAGGGCTGCCTTGCAAAGAATCAGAACCTTATCCGCTCAACTCCAACAACCCCGGAGCCGGAAGAGGGCGGCGGAGAGCTTTACACACAGTGTTTTTTTTTTGCATAGCAAAAATTGTGGGCAAGATCTGCAGCTGGAAGGATACTCCCCCCCTCCTCCATGCAGTATTATTCCTCCAGAGAATTGGCCTATGCATGGCTGTTTGTAAAACAGCCAGGTGTCAAGCACGGATATTTAAAAGGAGTGGTAGGAGAAGAGCTGTGCAAAAAATCTGGAGCAGCCTCTTTTACAAGTGCATTTTATTGAAAGACATCCGCTTCGTGAGCTGCGCTTGGGGTCAGGAGCAATCCATCTGGACTCGAAGGACCTTGCCCCTTTCTTATGCCCTGGATGCCATTTTAGGAGAGGGAACGTGCCCTGATGTCAGAGATCCACCCATGCCCAGGGCCTGGAAAAAATGCTCCCCCCGGCTGGAACCATCTCCCTACAAGCTGAGAATGCACCGCAAGGCTTACCCAGAGCAGCCGAGTCAAGGTCAGAAGAAAGGTCTTGGCCCTTGGCAGTTCATCCACTAATCTCCCTCTTGTCCACTGAGACCATAAACAGTTCCTCGTTAGTTCTGTGCTTTAGCTGCGCGAGCCACTGTCCAAGACTCTCTGCAGCTGGGACCCAGGGCGGATTGTGCAAAGCTGGAGCTGTGCAACGCGGACAATGCCTTGTGGCTGCCACTGACCTGTTCAGAACATCAGCTGGAGCAACTGCCTACGGGAAACAGCTTCTCTCTGTGACATGAAGGAGCAAGAGAGGAGAATGCGCCCCTCGCCACTTCTGCTTATATGCCGGTGTCCCCAAAGGCACCCAAAGTTATATCAAGGGCAAATCTCCATTAGTTATTGACTGCCTGCTGAAACCCTTGGCCACCTGTTTCTATATGCTAGGCTGGACTTCTTGAGAGGCTGAGTTTGCGTGCACACACACATGCATAGAACGTCATGCAAGTCTGTATGTACACAGCCTCCAAAGCCAGTAGAAGGAAGAAAACATGTACAAAATGACTGTTCAGCGTTGCTGGTATCCTAGGGTAGAAATTAATTGCTGCTGAACATTTTGTCAAATCCCCTGAATTTTTTCCCCTTTTACTGCTTTGGATAAGCAACATCCACAGCGACGTCTAACCACACTTGGCTGTCTCAAAAAAAAACACCCCAGTATCTAAGCAGGTTTGGATCTGGTTCATATTTGGAGGGGGGACCACAGGGAAATCCCAGGGCCACAGATTAGAGAAGGCAGTGGCAAACTTCTCGCATTGCTGCCAAGAAAAGATCATTAGAAACTTGATTTTAGGATAGAAAACCTGGGTGCGAAAGATGCATTTGTCGCATGAAATAGAACTATGCCGGTAACCAGAAGAAGTAACTGGGAAAACTCCATTTTGGTTGGGTGGTTGATGGTGGAGATTCAACACTCCCTGAACGGTTGTGACCCAACGCGCTGGTCACGTGCCCATTTCTGGGCACACTGAAGCAGAAATAAACACACAGGTTTAAACTTGCAAAAGTGGACTTTTACTTGCTACCAACCATAACTGGTGTGCATGTGTGTGTTTAGTGCAAGGTATACTTTAAATATTTAGCACCCTATGTGTTTCTGCACGAGCATGAGATCCAGAGGTGAATAAATAAACTGACTCACCCCTAACCAGAAAGGCGAAATCCTCAGCTGGTTTGACGAAACATCTGGTTGGAAATTCGCATTTGTCCTGTTGCGGGCAAGGCTGCACTGCCTATTCGGGCTCTGGTTCCTAATTTGGGCACATTCCTCAGGATTTAGCAACATGTCCAGGGTGGTTTTGCATCTGGTCCCTTGGCCAACTGTGGTCCTTCTTGGAGAGGACGCATCTGACCACTGCTCTGCACGCCTTGCTGACTTCTGGATGGACTTTTAATCCCTTTGTCTAAATTCATTATTTTCCCAGCTGCTTGCTCTTTATTAATAGCAAATTGTACGGAATCAATACGCCAGGAGGTGCAAGTTGACCCGTGCGCTTTAGCTGAGCCCCCTCTAAGGCCCCAAAGCTCCACGTGGCCTTCGAAAGCTTCGGACGTGGCCCCCCGTCTCTTCCAGAATCCCTGTTTTATGTGACAGAAAAGGGAGCATGCTAAAATACATGGTTAGCAATCTTATCAATAGCATTTAATTTAATTTAACATAATCAAGTTCAGCTTATGTCTGGGATGTCGCCCGCTTCTTCAAAACCATTTTTTTAGGCCCAGCATGCCAGCTGGCCAGAAAGAAAATAGCACCTTGTTATCTCTGGCATCTGTTACGTTGCATTTTTTTTAGAATTTTTTTTTAATCCCGCCTTTATTATTTTTATAAGTAACTCAAGGCGGCGAATGTACCTAATACTCCTTCCTCCTCCTATTTTCCCCCCAACAGTTTTATGATTTCTATAGAAAAGAAGCTGGGTTGTTTTTTCCTATATGTTCTAAGCTCTGCAAAACCCAGCGGCAGTATCGTTTCTGGGATTCCTGGGGGTCTCTGTGCCTCTGGTTTGCCCCCCACCCTGGGAATAGCTTCTCTTAGCTTCTCTGCTGCCTCCCTTGAGAAAAGCCACCCAGAGCAGCAGACGTTCCATGTTTAAGAGGGTGTCCCAGGTAGAAATATATACAGCTTTCTATCTCTTGGGACCAATTTTATTCATCATCAAAACCTCCACCACCATCACCACCTGCTGGGGTAGATTTCTATGGGGACCTTCTCACTGTGAAGTGGGACCTTTCATCCGTTCGCCCCCAAGGATGGAGGAATTAGGAAGGGGGCAACCTGAAAGAAGCAGACGGTTGCTGGTTCTCAAGTCATTTCTTCTTTTGGGTGGTTTTCATCACGGGCAGAACTGCTGTACTAATTTTCTTCCTTTTTCCTTTCTGGTCTGCAGAAGGACCTGGAGTCTCTCCTAAGAACTCCTTCAAGGCTGGGGTGGCCAAGCTATCTCCTCTCTGGAATATGGTGGATCGGTTTTTCCATCTCTGGACGACTTCTCCATCTGTTTTCCCCGGGGGTGGAGGGGTGGGCTTGAGGCCAGGATGCGCTCGTGCTGAGACATCTTTGGGGAGAGGTCTTCTGTAGGAGAGGCCACCTTCACAGAGCTATCAATCCAATGCTGACGAAGCTGGAACTATCCATACATCAGGTAACCCTCCAGAGCAGCGTTTCTCAACCTCAGCAACTTTAAGAAGTGTGGACTTCAACTCCC